ATTTGATAATTATAATTATTAAATAAATAGTAGATTTTAATATTTTTAAAGATTCATTATTTATTCAATAATTATGATTATCAAATTTATTTTTTTAAGTGCACGTGATATTTAAACTATTTTCTGTTTTTAGGTCATACCGTCGTTGTCATTTCTCTTATCCTTTTCTGGTATTCCGATGCCCTACTAGTCATCATGATGGCTGTGTAAAGGCCATCATTATGCCTTCCCAATTCTTTTTTTAGCTGTATGGTAATTAGTTTTCTACTTAACTCAAATACTAACTACCGTAATCCAACCAAATTATTGACTTTTTAATAGAAGTTGGCAAATATTGGCTCCAGGACTAATTAACTAAATGGTATTGTTGATGAGGACTACATCATGATTCATGACATTCCTAGCCAAAAACCTATAGAAGTTCTATTTATGGTAATATGTTCTCTGGCACCAAAAACCCTGCAGAAACCAGTTTCTTTCTTTCTTTCTTTTGATATGCCAACTATCTGTGAGAATTAATCTTCCCAAGGCATTATTTAACAACCATATCAATTTGGAAACTGATAATAGTTATGGATCTATCCATGTTTGTGGTTTTCACAGGAAGTTTATGTGGTGAACAAGGAAGAGAGCAAGAACAGTGGTGGCTCAGTGATGCCTAGGGACAAATACCCAAAGCCTCTGGTGTTCCATGATGGTAGGCTAGCCTTCTTGCCTACCCCATCTGCCACTCTTGCCATGTTCATGTGGCTTCCTCTGGGCATACTCCTAGCAATTGTTAGACTTTTTGTGGGTATTTACTTGCCTTTCCATGTAGCCATCTTCTTGGGCACTTTGAGTGGTGTAAACATTAGGGTCAAAGGATGCAACCCTTCAAGCTCAGAAGGTAAAAAAGGTCATGTTCTCTATGTTTGCACCCACAGGACTCTTTTGGACCCTGTGTTTCTCAGTACATCTCTGGGTAAACCTTTAACTGCAGTTACATACAGTTTAAGCAAAATGTCTGAGATCATAGCTCCAATAAAAACAGTAAGGTTGACAAGAGAGAGAAAGAAAGATGGTGAAACCATGCAGAGATTATTGAGTGAAGGTGATTTGGTGGTTTGCCCAGAAGGAACCACATGCAGAGAGCCATATCTCTTGAGGTTCAGCTCTTTGTTTGCCGAATTAACAGATGAGATAGTTCCTGTTGCTATGAATACACATGTGACCATGTTTTATGGGACTACTGCTAGTGGACTCAAGTGCTTGGACCCAATCTTCTTCTTGATGAACCCTAGACCTAGCTACTATGTTCAGATCCTTGGGAAGGTGCCCAGAGAGCTAACATGCGCTGGTGGGAGATCTAGCCATGAGGTGGCTAATTATGTACAAAAACAACTGGCTGATGCATTGGGTTTTGAGTGCACTACACTTACAAGGAGAGACAAGTATTTGATGCTAGCAGGAAATGAAGGGGTGGTTGATGACAAGAGAAATAAACCCTAGTTATTACCCCTCTTTTGCTGTTCACCATTCCCTTCTTGGTATTTATATTTTTTTGTTGTCACAAAATTCATCTCTTTAAACCATATATATCTGCTCATTTTGTGCTTTGTGCCCGCCCTAGTATAAGAAAATAAGATATTTGAACCATTTTTAACAATAAATTACACTTTGCCCTCTTTTAACTTTAATTCTTATCTCACATTCTCCTCTCAACTATCCCCTTTATCCTATTGCACATTCAATTGCTCCAATTATGGACATGCATTACGGATTTAAAGGAAAACTTATTTGACTTTGCTATAGAATTATTGAAGATTTTATTTTATTTTTTACTAACAATTGGTTTGTGATGTGATATGAAACTAATAATTAATATTTAGAAGGTAATGTGAAAAAATGGATGATATAAAAAATAAAATAAAATAAAATTGAAGTTATAATTAAGATGATGGATAGTTTAATTTAACCTAAGCAATATGGTGCACATGAACCCACTCATTACTCAACTTTTAAGCCAATCCAAAAAAAAAACATTACATTCAAACTGCTTTGAGCCACATATGACTTGATCATTACTTCAGATAATAATGTCAGTGTTTGGTAGAAATGATAAGTAGTAATGTTGCACAGACTCAAAAAAATAAAATAAAAAATAGAGATTAAATAGCCTGACATTATGTTGAGAAAATAAAATTTTAAAAGTGAACAACAAGGTAAAGGACGAATTAAATCGCTCTCTTAAGACAATTTGCGTTCTTTTACGAAAGAAACATAGCGCTGAAGATAACAACGCGTTGTCCTTAAGATACAACAATCTAATCTATTGACTATTATTTCAGTCAAATCTGTACGATCGAATAAAACGAAAGTTTCACACAACACTTTTAAATATTACCTATAAACTTATGTAGTAGGGAGATTGTAATAGATATTCAGATTGTACTTTTTTTTATACTGAAATATGTAAATACTTCATCCGTTCCTAAATATCTGTCGTTTAAGGTTTTTGCACATGAATTAAATAAGTTATTAAATAGTTATAATATGAGTAAAAAATAATTACACAAGACTAAAATACTCTTATTTAATACGTATTGGGATGAAAATGAATATGAAAGACACTTAACCTCCACCTAATCTAATGCATTAAAAAATTAAGGATAAATTTGGAAGAACAAATATTAATTATGTTTTGATTTTATTAAACGACAGATATTATGGAACAAAAAAATTTGTGTAAAACGACAGATATTTAGAAACGGAGAGAGTATATATACATAAAATATACTAGTCGTTAGAATTTTTTGATATTCAAAAGTTGAATTTTTAATATAAATATTAAAAAAGGCTTGAGTTTCCACATAAAAAACACATTTTTTTTGTTTAAAATACTCTAACACATTATCATAATAAGAAAAATTTAAATTTTAAATATATAAAAGTTGAATCAAAGACACTATTATGATAATATCACGTTATTCGGTCTTTGTTTTTGGATTTTTTTTTTTTTTGTGTGTGAGTCTAACATTATTGTTTATCATTTCTACCAAACACTGACATTATTATCCGAAGTATTACTAAAAGATAAATTGGAGGTTGATGTCATTTATTATGCATTAAATTCCCACAGTCTAATTCCTTGATCCACCCCTAGTTTGCACCATTCCGAGAGCTGCGCAAGGGACGAAAGGGCATGGGTGGATGCATGATACCTATTTCAAACAATTAATTTATTTTCTTTATATGTTCATGGAAATCGAGATGCCCAAATAGAGATATGATTATTATGATATTGTAATTTTAATTTTAATTATATATTTTGGTGTTCTTGTTTGTTTATCTGTTGGTACTTTCTACTCTTGTATTAATATTTTTTTTTGTGTNATACTAGTCGTTAGAATTTTTTGATATTCAAAAGTTGAATTTTTAATATAAATATTAAAAAAGGCTTGAGTTTCCACATAAAAAACACATTTTTTTTGTTTAAAATACTCTAACACATTATCATAATAAGAAAAATTTAAATTTTAAATATATAAAAGTTGAATCAAAGACACTATTATGATAATATCACGTTATTCGGTCTTTGTTTTTGGATTTTTTTTTTTTTTGTGTGCGAGTCTAACATTATTGTTTATCATTTCTACCAAACACTGACATTATTATCCGAAGTATTACTAAAAGATAAATTGGAGGTTGATGTCATTTATTATGCATTAAATTCCCACAGTCTAATTCCTTGATCCACCCCTAGTTTGCACCATTCCGAGAGCTGCGCAAGGGACGAAAGGGCATGGGTGGATGCATGATACCTATTTCAAACAATTAATTTATTTTCTTTATATGTTCATGGAAATCGAGATGCCCAAATAGAGATATGATTATTATGATATTGTAATTTTAATTTTAATTATATATTTTGGTGTTCTTGTTTGTTTATCCGTTGGTACTTTCTACTCTTGTATTAATATTTTTTTTTTGTGGTTATTATAAATTTAGGTTGTCTTTGATAACATGGCGTTTTTGTTTTTTTTTTTTTACTTCTTAGAAAAAATAAAAATAAATGGGAGAATCACATCTAGGCCCCTTAAAATGTCACTTAATCACTTATATTCTATAATATTTAAAATATTATACACAGACACCCTGAAATTTGTATGCATATAACATTAAGACTTAAGTAGTCAATGTTCGTTAGTCTTTTTTTTTTTTTGATCAAATAATGTTCGTTAGTCTATTTGTTAATAAATTACATTCAAACTCCTTGAATTTTTTTGACGTGGAATAGTTATTTTTTGGGAGATTATGCATATGTTGATATTGGCTTGGAAGCTCATTTATAAATAATTAATCACTTTCTTTCTTAGGTAGGTGAGTTATATATATATATATATATATATATATATAGAGAGAGAGAGAGAGAGAGAGAGAGAGAGAGCGGTTTCAGCAAGTCGATCGTACGGTCTTAATNTATATATATATATATATATATATAGAGAGAGAGAGAGAGAGAGAGAGAGAGAGAGGTTTCAGCAAGTCCATTGTACGGTCTTAAATTCATTCATTTAACGGTCAAGAAATTACCAAACTTTTTCTTAATATTTCCTCCCTCAATCGGTCAACAATTACAACTGATCTTAGAATACATCATACGGTCTCAAATTCATTCATCCAATGGTTAAGAAATTATCATTTTTTTCCTTAATATTTTTCTCTCCAACCGATCAACGATTACCACTGATCTTAGAACACAAAATTTTTTCTCACATAATAATTAAATGAGTCAAATTTGTCATTATTATTATTTGTATAGTGTAACATTTTGAATTTTTATAAGACACAATAATGATATTTTGATTAAAAAAAAACTTATCAATTTAATGGATAAAAAAACAAGGGCACTACTTAACACATTTATATTGAATATAATTAATTTTAATTTTATTTATTTAATTAATTATCACAAACTAATATGTCTTATACATTTTAAGTTCAGGACTAATTTTTTTTTTATCTCTTAAGAAAACTCAACGCTAACATATTCTTATAAATTAATAATTTTACAATAACTTGTACTAATTAAAAAAATAATATTTTATAAATGATATTTGTAGATCTTGTTTTGATAGAAAATATTTTTGTGATATACTTTTTGATAAATTAGATTTTTAGTTTAATGTTCGATTTTGATCACATGTATATAAAATAATATTTTTTTAAGTCAATTCTATCATATTTCGTGGATTTTTATTATAATATAAAACAGAAAAAATTTCAATAAGTTCTTCCGATAGTCTTAAATAAACTCATTTAACGACCATTAACATCTTTCTTAAAATCATTCAGATTAAATTTTATCTTCTTCTTCTCACTCTTCACACTCTCTCTTTCTCTCTGGTAGTGGCGGAGGGAGAAGGAGTCTGGGGCCACCCTAAATTTTTTTTTTTTTAGTTATATATTTTTTTGAAAATTCTTAATTGGGTCAATTGTAATTATTTATGAAAAACAAAATTAATTAGGTCAAACAAGTTGGGTATTCAAACAAAAATACGAAAAAAAAAAAATTCATACCAAATATCTTAAAATTAGTTAACTAAAATTGATTCCTTCGAGTATTGGTATGATTTGTTGGAGCCTCATTTGGTTCAAAAATTATGAAATATATAGTCAAAAATGAATAAAATATAGAATTTGTAAAAAGATTAAAAATTGTGTCAAATATATAATATAAAATAAGATATGTTTCAATATATTTATTCGACAGTCTCAAATGTACTCATTTAACGACCACTAATATCTCTCTTAAAATCATTCACATTGAATTCTCTCCCTCAAATCCATCACCTCTTGCACCGTGTAATAATAAATCATATAGGTGTTTGAACTTATGGGGGTATATTTCTTTTCCAAATTTTACACACCCAACATATATTTTTTCTCCCAAATTTTAAAAATTCAATACACAACTGTACATATATATACACACTCTAACACACATTTCATTACATGAACAATGTAATAATTCAGTGTATATATGTTATAATAGACTTCAATAAACCCATTCAATAGTCTCAAATAAATTCATTTAACTTCTGCTAACGTCTCCTTAAAAATTAATCACATCGTAATATAATCAGAATTCAGAGGCGGGGGAAAGAGAATGTACGATAATGAAAGCATGTGATGTGCTGTGTATGCTTACGTAAGGAACATTTACATGTGAGAATTTTATTATATTATTTGCTACATTGAGATGCGTGCTCAAAAGCCGTGGGGGATGGGGGTGGGGTGGTGTCAGATCCCTCTCTACTTTAAATGAATCACCAAAAACATCAATTCGAGTACACTGTGATATAATTAAATTCCACTGTTTTTCAGTTGTTGGTGGCAGAATTAGGTAATTGAGATCAGGTATTGTGATGTTGGAGATTGAATACATGATGGATGTTGGAGAGGCAGGAACAAAAAGCGTGGCGGCTCCTCCTCCTCCTCCCTCCTCC